TGACATAATCTCTAGAGTTTGCTTTAAACTACCTTAGCACCTAAAAAGCATATCAACAACAGAAGGAGTGGAGTATGTTGAAATAAGATTAGAAAAATCTTTTTTTCTCTCCATCTTTATGGAAAAATCTGGATATTTTTTGAAGTTAAGTGATGGGTACATGGAATTTATTATGCTAATCTTTTTGCCTTTGGTACGTTTGAAATTTTCCTGGATAAAATAGCTCTAAAAAGGTACATAATTTGAATATTATCAGAGGTATAAATCTGAGTTCAATCTTCAACTCTGGTCTAAACATGAGTCCTATGGAAAAGTTGCTTATTTTTTTAATTAAAAGTTTAAAATAAAAGTTTAAATTAAAAGTTTAATTAAAAAAATAAAATAGAAGTTGCTAGGGGACTCCTAGGGAAGATGGCTAAGGACCCTAAGTTCACCTCATCTCACAGATACAACTAGATATTACTCACTTCAGAACAAACAATCCAGAAAAGGAACCAAAACTAAATGTAGAGAAGAGGCCGCATGGAGAGGGTAGGAGAGGAAAGGACTTGGTAGGAACGTAAACCCCATGAATTTAATTTTTTGAGGGAGGTTAGCCACAGGTACAGAGAAGGGTGAGAAACAGATTAGCACACTGGGGAGCCTATAAGCAGAAGAGGAATCCCCATAGCATTTGGCTCTGAGAATCAGGGACTGAATTTCATGAGTACTTACAATCAGCAGGACTTAAAGTTTGGAACTTTAAAAATCAGCTGGCTGGGGGTGCCTGGGTGGCTCAGTGGGTTGAGCCTCTGCCTTCAGCTCGGATCATGATCTCGGGGTCCTGGGATCGAGCCCCACATCGGGCTCTCTTCTCAGCGGGGAGCCTGCTTCCCCCCCTCTCTCTCTGCCTGCTGCTCTGCTTACTTGTGATCTCTCTCTCTGTCAAAATAAATAAATAAAAAATCTTAAAAAAAAAAAATCAGCTGGCTGAAGCTCTGAGGGTCCCAGGGGCAAAAGGAAGCTGAGCCCGTATCCTTAAAGACAGCAGAGCAAACAGCCTCTGAAAATGCCGCTTGGAAGAAGCAGTTAGAAAGACACCTGGAACTTAAAGGAAGGAAAGTTAGTTACTAATCTCAAAGTTCGCTGAGAGATTTTCCAGGAACAAAGGAGCTGGCAGGTGTCATTTTCCTCCTCTACCCCTCATCATAAACACACAGCCACCTTTAGGAACCAGCTGGGCACCAGCACACCCTACCTAACTTGCTTATACTGCTTCCTGCCCCTCCATCAAGTCCTCCCTCAGTCCTGGTGCTATAGATCCCTTCCCTGAGAAGAACCATAGAGACCTCACCAACACTGTATCTCCCATCCACCTGTGGAAGATGTGGGCACCTTGTTAAGAATGCATTTCTCACCTGTGGGTGGTTTGTGGAGTGACCAGTCTAACCCAGGTCTCTTCTAAAGCTGTGTATTCCCTGTGGAGGAGGACCAGCACTACCTAGTTAAAAATGCACAGCTGGCCCACTACTTTCAAGAGCAAAGATGTAGCTGACTTCCCAAACACACAGAAACAGACACAGAGAACTAGACAAAAATGAGGAGACAGAGGAATGTATCACAAATGAAAGAACAGGAAAAAATCAGAGCAAGAGACTTAACAGAAATGGATGTAAGTAACATGCCTGAGAGAGAATTTAAAATAATGATCATAAAGATAATCACTGGACTTAAGAAGAGTGGAGGACATCAGTGAGGCCCTTAACAAAGAGATAGAAAACATAAAAGAACCATTGAGAAATGTAGAACACAATAAGTGAAATTAAAAATAAACTTGATGGAAAAAATAGGCTGGAGGAAGCAGGGGAATGAAATCAATGAACTAGAAGAGAGAGTAATGGAAAGTAATAAGGCTGAAAAACTGAGAGAAAAATTATGCAAAATGAGAATAGACTTAGGGAATTCAGCATAGTTCCATCAAGCATAACACTGAATTATAGGGATCCCAGGAGAAGAGAGAGAAAATGGTACAGAAAATTTATTTGAAGAAATAATTGCTAAAAACTTCCCTAATCTGGGAAAGGAAACATCCAGATCCAGGAGGCACAGAGGTCCACCAATAAAATCAACCAGAGGTGGTCCACACCAAAATACATAGTAATCAAAATGGTAAAAAGCAATGATAAAAATTTTTAAGAGCAACAAGGTAAAAGAAGTCAGTTACATACAAGGGCATCCCCATAAGGCTATCTGTGGATTTTTCAGCAGAGACTTTCCAAGCCAGAAGTGGGTGGCATGATATATTCAAAGTACTGGGAGAGAAAAATCTATAACCAAGAATACTCTATGCAAAGAGGCTATCAATCAGAATAGAAGGAGCAAGAGAGTTTCACAGACAAAATTAAAGGTGTTCATGACCACTAAAGTAGCCCTATAAGAAATAATAAAGAGAGGGTACCTGGGTGGTTAGGTTGTTTAAGTGTCTGCCTTTAGCTCAGGTCACGATCCTGGATTTCTAGGATGGAGCCCCACATTTGGCTCCCTGCTCAGCAGGGAGCCTGTTTCTCCCTCTCCCTCTGCCTGCTGTTCCCCCCACCTGTGCTCTCTTTTTGTCTCTCAAAATAAAATCTTAAAAATAATAATAATAAAAGGAACTCTTTGAGTGGAAAGGAAAGACCATAAATCAGAGTGTGAAAAGTAGGAAACACAAAAGCAGTAAAAATAAGTATTTCTGTAAAAAAAAAAAATCAAGGAATCCATAAAATAAAAGGATGTAAAACATAACATCATGTAGATAAAACATGGAGACTAATAAAGAATGAGTTTGAACTTAAGTGACCATCAACTTAATATGGACTGCCATAAGGTCATATGCAAGGTGTTATCTACAAATCTAATGGTAACCACAAATAAAAGCCTACTAATAGATATGTAAAGAATAAGGAGAAAGGAATCTAAGCATATCACTAAAGAAAAGTAGCAAGCCATGAAATAAAGAGAAGGATCCAAGAAAAACTACCAAAAAAAAGTAAAAAATGTCAATGAACACATATCTGTCAAAAATTACCTTGAATGTAAATGGACTAAATGCTCTAATCAAAAGTCATAGGGTGACAGTAGATTACAAAAAACAAAACCCATCTACATGCTTCCTACAAAAGACTCATTTCAGACCTAAAAATACCTGCAGATTTAAATTGAGGGATGGAGGGGCACCAGGGTGGCTCAGTGGGTTAAGCCTCTGCCTTCAGCTCAGGTCATGATCTCAGGGTCCTGGGATCCAGCCCTGCATCGGGCTCTCTGCTGAGCAGGGAGCCTGCTTCCCACTCTATCTCTACCTGCTGCTCTGCCTACTTGTGATCTCTTTATTTCTGTCAAATAAATAAATTAAATTAAATCTTTAAATTGAGGGGATGGAGAAACAATTATCATGCAGATGGGTGTCAGAAGAAAGCTGGAATAGCAATGCTTAAATAAAACAAAATAGACTTTAAAATGAAGACTTTAAAATAAAAACTTAGAAGAAGGGCATTATATAAATAAAAACAAATATAAACTATTGAGACTACATCAAAATAAAATATTTCCTCACAGCAAAGGAAACAATCAATAAAACTAAAGGGTAGCCTACTGAATGGGAGAAGATATTTTAAAATGATATATCTGATAAGGGGCTACTATCCAAAATATACTTAAAAACTCAACCCCTAAAAACTTACAAATAATTCAATTAAAAATGGGCAGGAGGCATGAATAGGCTTTTCTCCAAAGAAATAGGCACAAGAAAAGATGCTCAATGTCACTCATCACCAAGGAAATGCAAATCAAAACTATAATGAAATATTACCTTACACTTGTCAGAATGGCTTAAATCAATACAAAAACAATTTTTGGTGGGGATGTAGAGAAAGGGGAACCCTTTTGCACTGTTAGTGGGAATGCAAACTGATGTAGCCACTGTGGAAAACAGTATGAGGGTTTCTCAAAAGTTAAAAGAGAACCATCCTATGATCCAGTAATCACACTTCTGGGTATTTACCCCCTAAACAAAAGAACACTAATTCAAAGGGATTCATGCATCCCTATGTTTATTGCATCATTATTTACAATAGCCAAGTTATGGAAGAAGACCAAGTGTCCATCAATTGATGAATGGATAAAGAAAATGTGATATAATCATCAAAGCAGAAAATCAATAAAGAAACAAGAGCATTGAATGACACATTGGACCAGATGGACCTCATAGATATATACAGAACATTCCACCCTAAAAGAAAATGTGATATATATATATGAATATTATTCAGCCATAAAAATATGAAAAATATGAATTCTTGCCATCTGTAGCAACATGGATGGAGATAGAGTATAATACTAAATGAAATAAGTCAGAGGAAGTAAAATAAAATGTGATTTCACTCATATGAAATTTAAGAAACAAAACCAATGAGCAAAAGAAAAAGAGAGACAAACTGAGAAACAGACTCTTAACTATAGAGAACAAACTGATGGTTAGCAGAGGGGAGGTGCATGGGGGATGGGTGAAATTGGGGATTAAGGAGAGCATTTGTTGTATTGAGCACTGGGTAATGTATGGAATTATTGAATCACTATATTGTACACCTGAAACTAATATAACACTGTATATTAACTCTACTGGAATTAAAATATTTTTAAGAAAGGAAAAAAAAATGCTCGATTTTTATTGAAACTCCAGATGCCCCAGTAGAAATTCCTAATCTAAATAAGTGCATATTTTCTCAGGATTTTGGTAAGAATTTTAATATTTGACGTCATTGGATCTCCATTCATGAAATTCTTGTCATGATAACTGAGGATATCCACTTTTGAATGAAATAATGTTCAGTGAATAATCCAATGTGAAAGTCAGTCAGTATCAGAATTCCAGTGTCATTAACATCCTTTAAGAATTTGAACCATTGTTACTTAAACTGTCTGTATTTTAAGTCAGAAAGTAATTTGGTATTTTACAACATTCAGAACTGACTTTTTAGATAATAATGGTGCTATTTCTCATTCCAGGTTTAAGTTTATCTATTCATGGGGCTGAAAAGCATTTGCAAATCCATCAACGGCGAAGTGTGGCAAGACACCCAGGGTCACGTCGCCAGCCTGTGGTCAGGCATTCCTCACTTCCACCAGGCAGGAGGTCAATAAAAATGGAGGCAAGCTCTTCTGGAATCACTAATGGGAAAACCAAAGTCTTCCACCCAGGTAATGCGTGGGAAATATTCAACAGAGACCCATATTAGTAGCAACGTAGTACTGTCAGCATTATATTTTTATTCCAGTTAAACTTACTTTTTATTTTTTTATGTTTATTTTTTTAAACTTGTCTTTTAGAGTCTTGTTTTTTTCCCTCCTCTTTTCCCTTTGGTCAGTGGTAAATATCTCCAAGACCAATAAGAAGAGAAAGAGCTCAGTGTGTCAGAAAAAGGTTAAGGCTACATTCTACCTACAGTGGTAGTGGAATCTAAGTGAAAATCTGAGTGAGTAAACTCTTACTCAGTTCAGAAAAGCTTACTGTATAATACAATAAAATAGAAATTTGGCCATTTTCTTGATAATTTGCTCTAAGATAGTCCAGGTAAAAATTCAAGCTAAAAATGCCCACTTCAAAGCCTACATTACCTGACTTGCCTTGGCTATATTGTCTGGAGATTAGGAGAGAAGACTGGAGTTATATTGAGCTTCAAGGATCTGGAAAACATCTGTGATTTCTTAAAAATATTAAATGAGTCTATGTTAAAATAGGTAATCTCAAATAAAAGGTTTTATTGCTTGTTTATATGAGAAGCTCATCTAAGCTTTCACTCATTCATTCATTCATTCATTCATTCAGCAAATTTTTTGAGTGCCTTCTATATGCCAGGCGTTGTTTTGGGTGTTGAGAAAACATCAGTGAATAAGACAACATTTCTGCCCATCTGATTCATAGAAACACTGAACTGTGAGGCAGTTCAGAAGTCCTTTAGTATAACTGTCACCTGATCCTGATTCCAGTTATGTACTGGCTGGTGGCTACCCAGCCCCAACTAAAGCCAAACCTCCATCTCTAGCTCTATCACACCATCTCTCTCTCAACTGATAACCTTGTTTCCTAACCTCACTGAGCTACCCCAGGGCCACTGGGCGTGAATTACTGCAGATTCCTTACCCTCCATTCTAAATTTGTTTCTGCTTACTTTCATCCTTCTCTTTCCTCCAGTTTTCAGAAAGTGAAGGTCCTCCCACTGTCCTTGATCAAGCCTTCACCTGTGGTCTTGGCCACACCTCCTCTCTTGAGCCTCACTCAGGAGAATGTGTACCCTCATTCTTGTCTTTTCTCCCTCCCTTGCTTTTGACTTAAGAAAACTTAAAAGTTTCTCCCATTCTAATCATTTTCATTTGAAATTGATCATTTCTCTCTTCTGCCATGTTTTCTTCTGTAAAAGAATAATCTACTCCTGTTTTCTCTTTTCTCTCACTTCCCAGCCACTCTTGAACCTAATACAATCTAGTTTCTGGATTCTCCACTCTAGCACACCTGTCTTGTGGTCCTTTGTAAACTTCTTTTATCAGAGAATACTGAGTGGCAGACTCTTCTGATGCACCAGATCAGGGTGGACCACCACTTCTTCCCAACACTGTTCCCTGGTTTCCATGATGACCTTCTTTCTTGGTTCTTCTCTTACTTTTCTCACAGGTAACTTGGATGGTTTCCCAACCACCAACATCTCTCTCTTCCCCTTGCTTCCTATCCCATTATATCCTTTATATCAAATCCAGAATGATTTGTCTCAACCCCTAATCATGTCATTCACCTTGCTGATCCTACTGATTTTGAGGTAAAGTTCAAACCTCTGAGCATGTTAAAAACAAATGGCTTTCTTTTTCTAGCTCTACTACATCTCATCCTTTAGTTTTGCCACCTTCTGCCTTAAGCTTTATATTCTAGTGTATCAGTCCCAGTTCAACCAAAAAAGCAGAACCCGTAGAAGATGGATATTTAGAGATTTTTGTTATAAGACATTGGCTTCCATAATTGGGAAGGCTATGTAAGCAAGTCTGAAATCCATAGAGCAGGCACTTATGAATGGCATGCTGGAACTTTGGGGCACAGCTGAAGCTTCTGTCTGTAGGAGGAATTTCTTCAGAGAAACCTCAGCTCTGCTTTTGAGACCTTTCAATTCGTTGAATCAGTCCTACCCAGATTATTTAGGATAATCTCTCTTACTGAAAGAAACTAGTTATGTACTTTAATTATGTCTAGAAAACACCTTCACAACACCACCTAGATTAGTGTTCATTGAGTAACTGGGGACTGTAGTCTCGCCAAGTAGTCATATCAACCAGACCATCACATCGAATCAGACTGACTTTCTTTCAGCTCTCCATCACATGATGCTATTACACGTCTCCCAGCCTTTGTTCATGCTGTTCTCTTTAGGACGCCCTGTCTTTGTTCCATTATTTTTTAACATTTTGAAATTACCTGTGTATCTCTCCACTATAAGGTATTCAAAGGCAGAGATTCTGGATTATATATCTTTGTCCTTTTAATAAATAATTGTAGGGTAGAATTGAACTCAGTGTCCATTACTTATTTACTAGACTATTACCGTAGTTTTATTGTACATTTTCCCAGATTTATTGGGATATCATTGACACATTAAAATTGTTTTATAATTGTTCTACCTGACTTTCTATCAACAAATGTTTATTGGAAGCCTATTAGGTTACCAGGTACTCTTCAAAAATTTGGGATACATCAGTGAGTGAGATGAGGGATGAGTTTGGCAGTTTGAGGAACAGCACAGAGACCCCTGAGCCTAGAATGAGAGGAAACACCAGCCTAGATAGGTCAGATAGAGCAGGGCCTATAGAGTGGCCTATAAGGACTCAGAGCTCTTTGCAAAATGGGAGTTCTTATAGGTTTTTGAGCAGAAGAATCCCATGCTCTGACTTACTTTTTTTTTTTTTTCTAAATTTACTTATTTATTCAGGAGAGTGAAAAAGAGAGCATGAGAGTGTGTGAGGGTGGAGGGAGGGGCAGAGGAAGAAGGAGAGAGAATTCTCAAGCGGATTCCCTACTGAGTGCAGAGCTTGGTGCAGGGCTTGATGCTAGGACCTGAGATCATGACCTGGGTCAAAATCAAGAGCAGGATGCTTAACTGACTGAGCCACCCAGGTGCCCCGATGTGACCTATTTTAAGAGGCCCATAGTTGCAGCTATGTGAAAATACACCATAGATGGAGAGGGTGAAAAGAGAAAGGTCAGATAGGAGACCATCATAACAGTCTGGTAAAAGGGAAAGTGGTAACCCTAACTGGGTGTGGCAGAAATGGTATTAAGAATTTGGATTCTGGAAGTATTTTAAAGTTGGACCATCAGGATTTCACAGTGGATCAGTTGTGGGGTAAGAGAGAAAAGAGAGCTAAAGATGGCTCTAAGGTGTTTGGCCTGAATAAATTAGATTGGTATCAACTGAGATGGAGAAGGCTGCAGGTTAAGTAGATTCAGTGGATTTTAGGGAGGAAGGAGGGAAAAGTTGAGAAGACTGATTGTAGTCATGATAATATTGAGAACTAATGAGATCATATGGGTCAGTGGAATAAGCATGTCTGGAGTGTGAGAGATTGATCTGGGAAGGAGATATAAAATCAACTTTTGTTGACATATAAATGGTCTTTAAAGTCATATGATGAAAAGAGATGACTGAAGGAAGAAGTAAAGATGGAGAAGGGGAGAGGATGAAGGGCTAGAATCTGGGTGACTCTAACAGTAAAGGTAGGAGAGAATGAAGACCAAGAAAGAATGACTGCGAAGGATGTAGAGAAACTAGAAATTACATGTGTTGGAAGTAAAGAACGTTTATCAAGAAGAGAGGAGTGGGGGCACCTGGGTGGCTCAGTGGGTTAAGCCTCTACCTCCAGCTCAGGTCATGATCTCAGGGTCCTGGGATCAAGCCCCACATCGGGCTTTCTGCTGAGTGGGGAGCCTGCTTGCCCCTCTCTCTCTCTGCCTGCCTCTCTCCCTACTCTCTCACTGTCAAATAAATAAATAAAATCTTCAAAAAAAAAGAAGAAGAGAGGAGTGATTATATAGGTTAAATGTTGCTGAAACTCAAGTAAGATGAGAGCTAAGAGTTGGCCATTGATTTTAGTAAAGTGGCAATCAATGATGACTTTGATAAGAACAGTTTTGGTGAAGCGGTGGGGATGAAACCCTGATTAAAGTGAGTTTAGTGGCGCCTGGGTGGCTCAGTCATTACATCTGCCTTCAGCTCAGGTCATGATCCCAGGGTCCTGGAATTGAGCCCCACATCAAGCTCAACATCAGGTTCCCTGCTCAGCGAGAAGCCTGCTTCTCCCTCTCCCTTTCCCTTGCTTGTGTTCCCTCTCTTGCTGTGTCTCTTGCTGTCAAGTAAAATAAATAAAATATTTTAAAATAAATAAATAAAGTGGGTTTAAGAGAAAATGGAGGGACATGAATTAGATATTGTGACTATTGACGACTTTTTAAAAGTAGTCTTGCTGTGCAGGCTAGTGAAGAAATAAGGCCTGGGCTGAAGACAAAGTAGTCAAGAGAGCATTTTGTTTTTTTCAAAATAGCACATCTCCAGCAGATAATTTATGAAGTTCAGGAGAGGGGAGAATTCATGATGTGGGTGTCAGTGAGAAATGAGAGTTATACGCAATAGAATTATGAATAATTTATCCATGATAACAGATGGGAAGGGAGAGTATGTGTGGCTGTTGGCAGTGCAATGAGGGTCTAAAAAGTTCTTTCCTACTCTATCAGTTTTATCTGTAATGTGGGAGGCAAGGTCATCACTGAGAATGAGAATGAAATCTTGTTCAGAGAGGGAGGGAGAGGGAGATGGTATAAAGATAGGTGGTACAGATGGGGGAAATAAGATTGACAGCCAGCCTACATTAAAGGACTATTTGAAATTCATGGTCATGAAATTAGGACAAGTCATCATGGTTGTGTGTTTTTCTTTAACTCTGTTTAGGTACATGCATGAAGACATAGAATAGATGCACAGTTACATGTAGTCAGGGTTGTGATTTTTGCCAAGGAAGTAGGAAGAGAGAAAGAGAATCAAAGGTGTATGAGAGGGAATGATGACAATTGGTTATGTGATTCAAATGTGATAAAGAGGGGAGTGAAGCCAATAAGGGAATGAGGGGGTAGTGGGAAATTGAGAGAATCAGTTGAAGGTTCCAGA